TAGATAGATAAGATAGATAGATAGATAGATAGATAGATAGATAGATAGAATGAAAGAACGATAGATAGATGATAGATAGATAGAACGAAAGAACGATAGATAGATAGATAGATAGAAAGAACAATAGGTATATATATAAATAGATAGATAGATAGATAGATAGATATAAATTACTGTAAGTTTGATTCATTAAGAAAACTGCATATTATATAAATATATATGAAGTTTTCTAACTCAATAAATCAGTCTTACCTAATATTAAGGTCTAGTAATATATCTAGTTAACATTGCTGATCTGTTGATATATCTGTTGAATTGTTGATATATTGTTCCAAAATGTTTCTCTTTTTTTGTAATTTCCAAAAAGTATGCATTATTTTTGTATCATATTGTCATTTTGTAGCACAGTACCATGGACACTTTATTACATCCGTACATTTTTTAAATGTTTGATATTTTATTCAGCATATTATATTGATTATTTTATAATTATTGAAAATAATTATTATATCAGATATTGAAATTTATATAAACTAATATAAAACATTAATGGAATATTTACATTGCAAATTCTTTTGACAGATTGCTTTTCTTTGCAGATAATTACTTCTGAACGCTGTACATAAACCTTCATTAATTTTAGATACAAAAATCTATTACATGATTGGGTAGTACTTTGTTTGTCAGAGTTCATCAGCTAACAAACTTTAATCTGTAAACATTAAAATATAGTTCATGTACCTTATATTTCATCATTAAATGATTAAAACCGTAAAACACAGCAGAGTTCACTGCTCACTTGACTATTTCTTCTCAGCAGCCTGACTGAACCGATCCAGAGCTGAACTTTGGGCATGTCGATTTGTGTCTTGAGGTTGTTTATTAGTTCGCTCGGTTTGCAAACACAATCGACACAAAGAAATGAGCTTGCCTGGCAGCAGAAAACGAAATCTGGTCCGCCGAGAACAATCTCCACATCTGATTTAATTTAAAAGTAAAATTATGATCTACTCTTGTGTACTAATCGCTTGCAGAGCTGCTTATGCATGTGTTTGTTTGTTTGTTTGTTTATCTCAGAGCTCCGTCTGCCAGTCTGTTCTTGCATGGCAAACGGCCAAGTCATCAAACAAGCCTGTTACCATAACGATGCACGTCCAGAGATAGCGTCAATGTACCGAGAGAAACACGGCGCATTAATACTCACGACTCCTTAAAGCAGGGGTGTCCAATCCTGCTCCTGGAGAGCCACTGTACTGCAGAGCTCAGCTCCAACCCTAATTAAACACACCTGAATCTGCCAATCAAGGTCTTACTAGGCTTACTAGAAACTTCCAGGCAGGTGTGTTGAGGCGAGCTGGAGTTAAACTCTGCAGGACTGAGTTTGGAGACCCCGGCCTTAAAGGAAAGTCATATGATAGCTGTGTGTGAGGAAAAGACCAAAATGTATAAGGTGAACCATTCCTTAAGAAGTCATGAATATTTAAACACAATGCATCCCTTAATGCAAGTTATGCTGTAAACAATGACAATATTTCGAAATAAAAATGCTGTGTTGAAGTAACATCTCCAGTTATTGGACAGAGTAACCTTGGATTTTCCGAATAAGAAAGAAACTGATGCCAGATGAAATGTGCAGTCTAAAATCTAAAAGATTGAAATTAAACATAGTATTAGTAACATTATATATATACACACTGGCATGTAAATGCAACTTTAAATAAATAAATATTAATAATAATATCTCTTTTTCCACTACAGCTAGCTCTTTTTGTTCCTTGTAGTGCCAGTGCCGCTTATCTCTTAGTGTTGGATCGATTGATGTTTGTCATTCTTCTGTCTCTGCTCATGTTGTATTGATCAAGAGGAAGCAGCAGAGGCTTTTGGGTAACGGCTCAGATAGGAAGGTGTCCGTGCAGCATAAAGTGACCTTGATGACTCTCTCTGTGCTGTTATCAGTCAGAGCCAACAGAATCACTCACACACTCACACACTCTCTCTCTCTCTCTCTCTCTCTCTCTCTTCTCTCTCTCTCATCCACATACTTTCCAGATTCGTCTTTCTGGAACATCTCCAGATTAATCTGATTTATGAATATGAATCTAGTGTCTGTTTCAGGGGATTGAAAGGGTGAGAGAGATTGAGAGAGAAACTACAGCGGTGAATGTACAGGAGTGTGAACTCGACTTTAGTTTGGATCTGAATCTGAAAATCTAAATCTGGAAAACACACACACACACACACATATATATATATACTGTATATGTATTAGGGGTGTAACGGTACACAGACATGACGGTTCGGTACGTACCTCGGTTTTGATGTCACAGTTCGGTACCGTTTCGGTACAGCAGGGGGAAAAACTAAACATAAAATTGTTTTTTTTTTATTTTATTAAACAGTGGTTTACTGAACAAATTGCTCTTTCTTTAAATAAATTCAGTTATAATTCAAATTAGGGACTAATAAAAATCTACCTCGGCTTATGCTCAAAACTATAGTGAGCCCTTTTACATTACAGTTAACAACAGAGCCCAAACTTAAATTTAATTACTATTTATTTTTAAAAATAACAAGCAACACTCAACTAAAAAAAAATGTATGCAATCATGTAAACTGCACATAATGCAGTTTTTAAATTAACTTCTAAATGATAAAAAATAGTCTAATATTTTGCGAAATGCTCTTCTCTAGACTTCATTTATAGCGCACTAACCAGCTGTGGACATATTTCACAATATTACAGTTTTTACTGTATTTATAATCAAATAAATGCAGCCTTGGTGAGCAGAAGAGACTTCTTTCAAAAACATTATAAAATCCTACAGGCCCCAGAGTTTTGAACAGTAGTCCTCATTTAGATGAAGTGTGTGAGTGTGAGTGTGAGTGTGTGTGTGTGTGTGTGTGTGCGCGCGTTTTTGTGACAAATGAGGACATAAATTTGTATAATGACAAAGGTATGACATAGGTATTACAAGGAGAAGGTGACTTTTCAGGACATTACCCCATGACGCTTATAAATTACACAGAATGGTTTGTACAGTATAAAAACCATTATGCCTATGGGGAGTTGTGTGTGTTTGTGTGTGTGTGTGTGTGTGTGTGTGTGTGTTGTACCTGGCAGCAGCTTGTGTGTGAGTCTCTGGCAGTGTGGTCGGTACACCTGAAAGCGCAGCTGAGTGTTTGCGCTCAAAGGCTGTGTGATCAGCTCCAGAGACGACAGCCGTCCTGCGCTCA